TTTTATATATTTTTTATTTACCATAAGCAGTTTACAAATTAATTTTCATGCACTTTGACACTAGTTTTTTTTAGTGGTTTTAAAAACTCACCCTCACATTAATTTCATGCATTTAAATAAATTAATTTTCTCAAGTACTATTACTAATCTTAAAAATTAAACCCTAAACCTAATCTAAAACAATATTTGCTTATTAATGTGTAATTTTATATTATATTTTCATATAATGATAAAACAAAACCTATGACTAAATCACAACTCAGCCCTAACAAACAAATAATGCTTATCTAATTTAAAGATAATTATTTTATAATACGATACCTTCAAATTTTGTCTGTAAAACAATTTTTTATTCTTGTATTTTGGTGTATTCGATTTAAGTTGAGGATAATACTGTAATTTTATCCATTCTTGTATACCCTAGTTTGCTTTCTCTATGGTATATAAATCCCCCAACTGATAAGCAGGTTCGCTGTTTTCTGGTTCGTGAATCGCCACTCCCCCTTGTATCTCAAAAACCTTTCTTGTTATAATTGTTATTATTATTTCTTAGCTTTTTATTTTGTTAGTAAGATGTAAAACAGCATCCACTATGATTCTCTTTGTTTCATTCCAATAGCGCAGAGAGAATACGAAAGAGATGCAACACCAAAATCCAGATCTCAGATCTCAGGTACCTCTGGACATGCAGATTCCTCGTTAAATCTCATGGATTCTTGCATTTTCTCGTAGGTTCCACACTTTTACTTCTGTTCTTTTCTGCTCTGCACTTTCATTCCGTTCTTAATAGCATTCTTTTTCCGTTTCTGGTATGCTCGATGATGATTGATTTGCTTTAACCACACTGAAAAGAGATCTGAAGTTGGATTCAGATCTCTCTTTGGTTTAGGCCAAGGAACGGTCATTTCTCGTGCTTGCTGGATTTTGATGACTCTTCTGTCTACGAGTTGAGGCGGAGTTTTAGCTTCTGCCTCTTCTCTTAGGTGGAAGATGAGAGATCTATCAATCTCCTGAAGGATCTCCTTTTCTTTGGCTTAAATTTTAGAGAGAATCGGCGGCTTCAAGTTCTCTCATGTGGAAAACTTTGGCCTTCAACTGAGAGCTTTCAATAATATTTACAGAAAAGTGCAGTCCATACAAGACAGAAATCTCTAATATTATTTATGTCAGTGGACTACTGAATTTACTAAATTGACATTAATGAAATTTGATATTGTTTATGAGAGTTTTCATTAAATTAATGAAATTTGATAGTGTTTATGAGAGTTTTCATTAATGACAATTTAGTAAATTTAGTATTTGTACTGCATTTTTAATGTGTATATGAATGTTGTTAGTAATTTTAAGTTTGTGATACGTGCATAATGTGATTATATTATGCATCTACCGGCATCTTGTAAATCTTTCTCAAACTGGGAAGGTAAGATGTTTAGTGCTTTAGAAACTTGGACTGCATGATAATGCATTATCATGCATGAAATAAGGTTTAAATTCATTAGTGTGTATATCGAAAGACTGTATAACAATGAAATTTGTTCACAATTGTGTTGATTGGGCTTAGTTTTCTCTAGTCTTATGCAAAGTATTATATATTTATTGTGAGTGTTATAGATTAAGAGTGTTTGTTAAAGCTTAAAAAGTACTTGCTTTAAAAGTAAATTCTTTCTCACAAATTTGAAAATTTGTTGGAGAGAAATTTAAAAATTGATTTCTGAAGTAACTTTTAAGAGTTTTGAAAAAGTTTGCACTTTGAATTTTGCTCCAATAAATTTTCAAGTTTGTGTGAAAATTTTGCATTAAATCAAGTTGATTTTTAAGTTTTACCATATGTTTAGTGTTTTTTCTTCCTCTTGAAGAGGTTCAAGTGTAAAACTATTTCTTTTTGCAATGTAAAATTGATGTGAGAAAGGTGTAGTTCTTGTATTTTGATTAATGTCCTTAGGCGCAAAGGTGGAAAATCTCTTTTATCAATTTATAATTAAAAGGATTTTTCTATCCTCTGTTTTAAGGACAAGTAGTAAAAAATATACCTTTTTTGTGTATCAATTCTACAAGTATTGAAATCTTCACTCAAATATCCATAAGTGCAATGTTATTGATTTTTACCTTTATGGTATAGAATAATATCAAAGCTAATCTTAAAAGTTGCATCAATATTATTTTATTCAATCTACATTATATATTTAAATTGGAAATTTGAATTAAAAGTAAAAAATAAAATAAAAAAACCCTTTGGATCAATTTTTGGATGAAAGAAAAGAGCAGTGTTTGAGATACATCTCACAAGGTACTTTTGTGTTTTAAAATATAATTTTTTTTTTTAAAAAGCATGTATAAAGGGTACTGTTTTTCATTTTTCTCTTTGAAAGTAAAATAGAGATGGAATTTTATTTCTTAGAATTTTTCTTTGCATAGAACATGTTCAATTGTCTTTTTCCTTTTAATTATATTTTAAAGCATAAAATTGCTTTGTGGGATGTTAGGCACTGCATTATGTTT